ATGGATAATTCCGGGGCTAAGTACGCAGCTTTAATTATTTGGGGTGTCACTAATTTAAAAAAACGCACACTAAGCGCTTACGCGGTCAAGTTGTCGCTGCGGTTATGAGACCAGCGGTGGCTTCATGGCATTGGAACGTGGTCGGTCGCTGCGGTGAGCGTCCCTATCATAGTAGTTAGAAGCGAGTCATATTTTTTTAAATTTTTTATTGGCTTTCTTCTAGTCTAAACTCTCGCACCTTGCTGGTGTTTTCGACCAAATCGACGCTCTCCTTCCGTCCTCCGAGTGAGTTACTGAATTCCTGGAAATTACAATGCTTTACTGAGAATATTCTTCTGATGAATTATGGTAAGCCAAAACATACATCCGTTTGCTTCGCTTTTCGGGTGTGCGCGAGGAATAGTTTTGGGTTTCTTTTTAACGTTACTGACTGGACTACCGTGCCATGTGTGTGAATCTGAAATTGGAAGTCACCAGGGCGGATGAACTTTGGCTCTGCCGCGTATCGAAATATGCCAGATAAAATTCTACTTAGCTTTTGTTATTCCTACTGCGCTGCCTCAGAGACGCCTGTTCTGATAGTAAGACATCCTCCATATTTTATTTGGCTAATCCGGATGGTTGCGTGACTACTTTGAGATAAAGAGCGGCAGAGTGGGTGTTGCATTTGAGGAGCTCTTTTATTTTCTAAGCCAGTAAATATTTTTAGGCTAGCTCCCACACAAACGTTCTGCCGCTGATCACGCGTTGGGGTATTGATTTTTTTGCAGCGTAGACCTGTGCGTGCTGTTGATTGGTCCAGGGCTCAACATCATGCGTGCCCTCTCTCCATCGAGTCTATGGCATTGCATCTACATCATGACTAAAAGCTTGTAACAGCTCTCAGATGTCGACAGTCTATTTCTCCTCGCATAACTTACTCGCATCCCGAGATTTTACGAGAAAAATCCAAAACGCTTTCGGCTATTTAGCTGCTTACCTTCAGGTCACGTTACTGGAGATCTCTACCGGTGCTTTGCTGGAACTTAGTTATGAGCCTATGAATCTAAAGGTGAACCGAATGGCCACCATTACCATGTTAGCATCCACATTCGCGTTTTGGCGTGATGTAAATCAACTTATTTCAGGCCACTCAAAGGACCAAATTCATGGGTCGCCGATTTTTACGCCTCCAACCTGCCAACGCCTCTATTTTTGATAGGTTTTCATCTAGACATTGGAGTTGACTTAATCAGCATCAATTTTGGGTTTTCAGCTATTAAGTTACTATCTCCTCCGTATGCGGCTCTAGAGGTATATATTACAGACTTGCTACGCATTGATACCAGATGAATTGATTAAGCGCACCTGTATTTATTTTATCAGTTGCTTTGCTACGGAGGTTTTTGTTGGCCGGACTTTTGCTATCGTGGTGGTTTTTTTCCGAATACATTGATGTGGTAAATTAAGGAATGTTCATTGTGTTGCTAGGATATCGTTCCTTTACTCATGGCCTACACCTTGCAGATGTACCGAAATTGAGACATAGTCTATTTAACTTTATGCGAAGGTAGGACCGTTTCAGGGTGAGTGATTGTCTGTTCTGCACAGTTGTTCTACTATTATTTTTTAGTAGGCTTTTCGTAACCTAGACTTCTCTGTCAGAAGTGGAAAATGCCACCTGGCAACCAGTATGTATTAACAGCCTACTTTCTATTTGAACCATACCGAGTAATGACGAGTGCTAGGTAAAGGTATCGGATGTCCTTTGGGAAATGTGAGGGCGGCTATGTTCCGGTGTTTTTTTCAATGCTTTAGAAGAAGTCACTTTGGGAAATATTAGTTTTGAGCAGATTTGTTTTCGCAAGATAACTACGTTTTTGGGTAGACTTTAATTTGGGAAACGGGAATGAGAAATACCCGATTCGATTATAATGGATACACTTTAAAATCACAGCAGTTTGGCGTTTAAGAGCGGAAAAGCAACTTTCGGAGTTCTAGACCAAATGGGCTTTGCGGTTTAATAGAGAACCCAAACAAGCTTTTCCACAGGTAAGTTTTGATGCTAATATGCACTTTTATCTTCAGATTATTTCGATTACTTATTTTCTTCATTTCAGAAAGTAGTGTGTTTAAGCAGGGCTTGCCACTTAATTGGTTTGGGTTTTCTCCAATTGTTAGTGACACTCTTGCCTCTGGACCAAGCAACACTTCTACAATGTCTGATGCGGAGGAGTTGTGCGCTCGTGCGGAGAGCATTCGGGATAGGGTGAAGTTGGTGATGGAGGGGCGGATTGGCTCTGCCTCTGGTTAGTCTCCATCATTACTCCTTCATTTTATTGTCTTCCGACTGTTGCCCATTCTTCCAAGACTTTGGTGCGTTTGTAGGTTTTGTGATTGTGATACTAAATGGGACGGGGTTGCTGTGCTATCTCGGTCACTTCTTTTATTTGTGGTTGTTTGGCATTGCGCGATCACTCGTCCGTCTATCCACTCATTCGTGTGTTGTCGACTACTTAACACGCCACATTAGCACTCATTGGTTTCTCTTAAGAAGGAACAGTTCATGTAACTGCGTATTTGCGGTGACCCTACACATCGCAGGGGCTAAACAAATCTCTACGATTAGTACTGCTGTTACTACGTTATAAGCAGGGTCTTTGAGAAGTGGCCTCTTACTTTTGAACTAGAGCCCACCTCTTTTTTTCTTCATAGTTCTAGGTGAACCGGAACTGTGTGATAGAAAAGGTACCGATTTTTGCTACCACTTTTTTTTTGTAATGTTGGTCCCTACTCCAAATGTACTTGCTTTTCCATTACCTTCTGGTGCAGATTTGAAGGCAAATTCTACCGAGCAGTTGCACTCTTTACCACCAAAGGCGGAGCCAAATATGGATGTAAGTTATTCCCTTTATTTAATTCTCAAATAAATTACCCGAAAAGTTTTTTATTTGGAGGTGGCTAAACTTGGTATGCGTAGCTATCAACAACTAAGGTCTTTTTCGTAAATGTGAGGCCTAACTTGTTGTTTTCTGGAAATCTCACTGTTTTTTTTTCTTCCATACACTTTTACGAACCGCATGATCTGTTCTTCGTACTGCACAAATTTAGTATTTTTTCTCACCGCACCTGCCTAGTTTGAATCTGATCCGTAAGACCTCCAGCGAGGTTTCTCTGTACCACTCGCAGTACCCTCAGCACTCTATTCCCCCTTCTCATTGCTACCACCGACTGCAAGAGTATCAGCAATACCAACACCAATCCCATCACGTTAACTGCGAAAGGCAGTCTCACCAGCTTCCACTTCAGCCTACTGCTACCGCTACTACCGTCACTTACCGACATGACCCTCATGTCGTCAGTAGTGCTCGTCATAGTCTCGTCATTGATGATGACCTATGTCTGCCTGTTGGCCACGTGCAACGCCTTAAAAAGAAACTCAGTGCCTCTCTTACTACAAGCGGATCTAACCACGTACCAAGCGACCTTCGTGCCATTCCAAGACAGATTCCCGGTGCCAAGGAACTCTTTGGCGCTTCTGCAACTCCTCCCGATCCCGCGATACTGTTTTCGTCGGGCATGAGGTCACCATCACTGTCATCGCAGCGGCAGCTACCTCCACTGGCACCAAGGAGGCAATCAACAAAAGACGAAATTGTCTCGCTGCAGAAGAATGTCGCCTCTATGGCTGCGGCTGCAGCTCTTCAGCGCAACATGTCTGTGCGAGCTAAGGAGGTAATCATTGACGGTTGTGGCGGTGGTGGTGGAGGTGGCAAAGGTAGTGTTAGAGATCTTGCAGTGTCGAGATCGGTCGCTGTCGGCCTTATCCCGCCTTTGTTGTCCAAGTCGTCAATATCGGTTCAAACTCAGACGGAGCCGTTTAACGCCTGTCCTTGGTGGACGATGCTAGAGACTCCTGGATGGCGCCAGAGCTCGATGTCCTTCTCTGCCGCTTCATCAGGCATCGGAATGGATGATGGGAGCAATTTTCAGGATGACTTCTCATCGGTCTCAAAATCTTGTTTTGTCTGTTGCAAGCATAGTGCTGTTGCGGCCGGTGTTGGTGGCACCAATCGTCCCCAGTCTGGGACTACATCGTTCTGCCCGGCCCCCGACTTACTTCAAGAGGTAGCTCAAGAAAATAACCAGTTAGGACTCTCTTCCTCAAACAATCGCTCACTCTGTTTTTCATAAAATTCACGCATTTTTTTGTTTAAGATTGCTATTCAAATAGTTTTGGCTAAGCCGCTTGACATTGGGGCTTTACATCTGTTTGCTGACGTTGTCTATGCGTGAACAATACCTGGTGTCGTAGCAAGTCGATCTAAAATGTTTAGGCATTGCTTCTTCGTTTCGTTATTGTATTGCACCACTTCTGCCTTTTTTAGATAAGTCGAATGATCAGAGAGGAAGTTACATCCGTGTTCCAATCAGAGATGGGTGTTATGCTAGACCGGCAAAGAGAGCTTATACAACAAGTTCTAAAGCCACCCGCCGGGAGTACACAGGCAGTGGAGCATATACAAGGTTCACCTGAAGGATTTCATGCGAGCCCAGAGGGAGATAATTCGCGTTCATCGTCGTTTTCCCCGGTAAACTAGCTTGTTGCATTCTACGTCAACTCTAACTGTTCTTAAAAGGTGGAAATTTGAAACGGTACTTTTTTGGTTGCAACTAGGTAGTTTTATTTTGCTGAAACGTTGATTCATTTTGATACTTTTAAATACTGACTTCTATAAAGTTGGCAGATTTTCGTCTGTACTTGAAGAATAATCATGCTTTTCTAAACGAGGCATTTAGCTGCTTTCGTACTGTTGTAACTGGCATCTTTGTGGTCATGCGATTGATCTTCAAAGCACTGTATAGCACAACTTAAAGTGATGCCTTTATCGACGAAAGTAAAAAAGAATGCTCCTAATTTATGGTAAAATTCGACTAGCGAATTGCACTCGATTGAAATCTCCAAAGGATGTTGAGAGCTTATTAGGATTTCCCCTTTTTAGAAGCCCGCTACAACATCACCTTCCCACCCAGGACCTTATCTAAATGAGGTAAGAATACATCTATTTTACGCCTTGTGCAACTGCTATATGCTGGGTTTTTGGTATAATCTTCTATGCTACTTTATACTTTACCTACAGTTTGATATTAATCTTATTCACCATTGAAATAAAATAAGGTAATGTATGGATTAGTAAACACGATACCTGAAGCAATAATTTCTTGAATCATTAGTTGATATTTCTCCATTGCTTTGGCTACTGCTAGACTTGGACTTCTCCTCTTCTTTTATCAGGATTCCGTGACTGAGGAACTCAGAGGAAAAGCCACCAAACCGCTGCGTCAAGCCTGTGGTGATTCTTCGGGTAGCATAGCCCAACCCATGGTATGCTCCATTTACTCTCTAACCCTGCAAGCCTCTAGTCTAAATAGTAATACCGTTTTGTTTTGCAGCTTTTGCCAGTGCCACCTCGGTTGTTAATAAAGCGTTTTGTCCCTCCAGTTCCGATAATATGTCCACATCTTCTACCATCCGGTCTCATGGTAATAACCTCGATAGCTTCTTTGCCTTTTCTCTGTGTTATTATCCATGCCATAGTGGTCATCGTCTCACTCCTGCATAATTTTCTGTGTGCATTGCGACCTTTCATTACAAGCTCAAATTGTTTGATTTTGAACCGGATTGGACTAAAATGTCCTTGATGTATTGGTCATTTGCCTGCGATGAATGTGGATTCCATACTTCCATGAGCCCTTTCGATCTTTTCTCAAATCTTATCGGTGTAATATTATTGGCTACCTCAAATACCACGTTGTCTCCATCCCCAGATCGAAGCACTTAAATATGGAATGACCTGAGATGATATCATTTTAGAGGGCGAT